TTCTTCTTCCTCATACTCATTACTGTTAGTTCCTCATTTCCCCAGCCTCCCCTGCCACAATCCTAGGTAATTATTAACCTAGTCTCTATCTCTATGACACACCTATCTTGGATTTTATATAGAGAAAATTAGGCAAAGCAAAAACAAGAAACAAACAACAACAAAAACAGAACAAAACAGAGAAAAACTTTCTTCTCAATGGAAAAGAAAGCAGAAAATATATAAAACTGGAACAACTCTAAATTAAAAGGGAGATCAAAGGATAAGGTGTTACATTTTAACCTAACTACTCTTGCCATTATCTACTTTACAATTCTCTCTGCCTGGTAGTAAGGTTAGTCACATCCCTCAACTATAGTCAGGAGGGATTCATGGAAAGCTTAATCCATGTGGGGTCCTTACAGATAGATTTTGGACTTCCACTGTCATTCATAGCAAAGCTCTGATACTGTTCCCTCCTCCAGATTTGGATTTTATTATTTACAATCCTTGGGTCACACAGGCTGGTGGCTTGGTTGAATCTTCACTTGGTTGAATGTGGACTTGGTTGAATCTTCACTTAGATGACTCTTTACTTATGACTGCTTATTTTATGAACTAGGTCATTCTTTCTCAGTCTGTTTTGTTGGTTCCTCTTCTTTTCTCTGATCTTTTAAATTTGGTATGCCACAGCTTGGTGAGTGCTTACATCATAATCCATACTCCTTCTCTTGTGATCTCCTGTAGTCTCATGACTGTAAGTAACCAATATCTAGCAATAACTTTCTACTTTATATATCTAGATCAGATGTATTTTCTGCACGCCTTCATCTAGCCAACTATTTGAAATCTTCACCCAGATGGCTAACAGACAATTTAAAGTCAACATGGCCACAACTGAACTGACTTTTCCTCAGTCATCATCTTTTCTTGCTCAGATAATAGCAGGTCTACAGCAGTTCGAAACTGTAGGTATGTATATAGTGTCCTATACTTAGAAGTCATCATTAGTGACTGTTTCCCTTACATACAACATACAACCTATTAGAGAACCATGTTGGTTTTCCTTGAAAGATATATACAGAATCTGACTTCCTCTACTCTGCTGCTTCCTCTAGGGTCCAAGCCACAACCCTCTTTCATCTAGATCCCTGTACTTATTTTGTAATGGATACTTGACTTTGATACTTTCCTATAATTATCAAACCAGAAGCTAGTCTAATCTTTTGGAAGCACTAATCAGATCATTTCACATTTCTGGTGAAAATTCAATTATTCAAAGTAACAGCAATCGTCTTATCATAGTCATCTTCCAGTAACCCATATCTAGTACTGCTCTCTTCTCCTATTCACCAACTCCACTCTGGCCACACTGTCTTCCTTGCTCTGCTACAAAGCTGTTGGCCGTCTCCAATCTTATCATTGAAATGGCCACACTTTTTACCCAGAATCCTTAGATTGTTTATCAAAAGTTTCCTTTACATTTTATTAGCATACTGATATTTCAGTCATACTATAAATTAATAGATTATTTTTCAATTATTGTCTTTATTCTTATGCTAAGGGGTATGTCATATAAATATTTTTGTAATTTTTATTTTATAATAGGCTTTTTAAGAGCACCTTTAGGATTACAGACAAATTGTGCCAACATTAGTGGACTTCTCATACACAACCCTTCCTCCACCCTATCTATACTGTTAGCATCCTACATTCCTGTGATACATTTGTGAGCCAATATTGATACATTATTAAGTAAAAATTCATCATTTACAATAAGGTTCACAATTTGTTACACATCCTTATAGGTCTTGAGAAATGCAAAATGTCATGTTCCACCACCACAGTTCTCTAGAAAACAGTTTTGTTACTCTAAATATACTCTGTGTTACATCTCTTTATCTCCCCTACCTGCCCTCCCCATGGGTCAGTACTGAGGTGGCTTTCATGTTGCGCTGATGCTGGAAGCAAGGCCGCTGGAACTTCAAATCCCAGCCAGTTCCCATGGTGGACTGGTCTCAGCAGGACGTCCAGACTAAGAACGGAGTAGGAAGAAGGTGCACTTTGAAGGATTAGCTACGGAAACTCTTAGGAATTACAGGAGAACATCTAATATTTTGTTAAAAGATGCATGCTTTAAGTTGGACCCACCTACTTACCCACTGCCACTGAGTCAATTCTAGCTCGTAGCAATTCCATAGGTCAGATTAAAATGGCCCCTTCGGTTTCTGAGACTAAACCTTCACAGGAGCTGACTACCTCATCTTTTTCCCTCCAAGAAATCGGTCAATTTTACTTGTGGACTTACTCCACCAGGGATCTTTCTCCGATTGGAAACATTCAAACACGACAGCAGGAGAGCTGCTGCATCCAAGTAGAGTCAACCTTAGTGATGAGAATGGACCAACATGTTCATGACGTTTACTGAAGAGGCATGACGCAAACTGAGAACATGCGAGCGTCCATGACAATCAGAAGGTGAAATGTGCCACGTATGAATCCAGGAATACTGGAATCTGGTTCGGAAGAGGACTCATTAACGGCATGCAATATGCAGATGATGCAGCTTCACTCACTGAAAGAGAAAAGGAGTTGAAGCACTTGTCGATGAAGATGAAAGATGAGATAGCCTTCAATGGGGGTTACAACTCAACGGAAAGGAAAGAATCTTTACAACCAGACCATTTTGCAACATCATAATAAACAGAGAAATGAGTTAAATCATCAAGGATTTATTTTTCTTAGTTCTACAATCAATACTAAAATAAAAATGCATTTGACATTCGACATTGAGCAAATTTGCTGCAACAAGCTCTTTAGCGTGTTAGAAAGCAAATTAACATCGCTCAAGCCATGGTGTTTTCCATCCGCTCGTACGTACGTGAAAAGTGAACAGTGAATAGGAGAGCTGGGAGAAGATTTGAATGATGGTGTTAGTAAAGAATATTGAAGTGCCCTGAACTACCAGAAGATTTAATGCATCTGTCTTGGAAGGAGTATAGTCAGAATGATTCTTTGAAATTAAAAGGATGTGCCAATCTCCGGAAAAAGTAAAGTAGAGGGTTAGCGAAAAGAGGAAGCCATCAATGGTTGCAAGACACAGTGGCGGCAACAATAGATTCGCACATAGTAATTGTGAGGATGCCGAGGTCCAGGAAGTGTGTCTTTCTGTGGTTTTTAGGGTGGCTACGTGTTGGAACCAAGTCAATGGCACCTAATAACAACGTCAGAGATTTGTACCTTAAATGAAAAGATAAAGCGAAAATCAGCGTAAGGGACAAAATAGGGTTGGACTTATTTGTTAAGAATGATTATAATGATTCTTTTAAAAATAAAAGTATAAAAATAATTCATAAAAGTAGCCACACAGGTGGCCATTAAAATTTTTCTTTTGCTAAATAAATTGCTAAGTCATTGTCCATAAGACATATTTCTCTGATGAAAATGAAAGAGAGGCTGTGGCTCGCACTGAAGTCACTTTTCTGAAATGCTCTATGGTAATGACTTACGAGGATGGCGCGGGGTGGGCATGCTCTCATTCTGCTGTGCACCGGGGCAGCGGGCGCTGGACTGACTCAGGGACACATAACCCAACAACTTCTCCTTTTTTCAGTCTCCCATTAACATTTGCAACACAGTTCCTTCTCCACTTTTTAAACTGGGTGCGAGCTTCTTAAAAAGAGCCAAGGGCTGTAAGTTGGTTTAGGCTAGTTCACAATAACACATCTATAGAACAAAACAAAGGGAGCCAGAGCTTTCTGCGGGACGGCCGGCTCTTCAAGCCTGTTTAACAGCAGGCAAAACTGGCCACATCATCTGGAGCCAACATGTACAATAGGTCAAATTAACTTGCTCACTTTTCGTTTTCTATTATATTTTTCAGTGCCCTTCCAGAACACCATTACTAAGAAGCTATTATTGGCATCACAACATACAATTTCATTTTGGAAGGTTGGTCTTAGAATACCCTAAATATCACAAAGTGAAAAACTGCGCCAATTGTTTCAGTATGCTAAAGGAAAATGAGTTTGTGCAAAAAAAACAAACAAACATTTAAAAAAACGTTTTATTGAGAACTGGGTGTAGGTTTTACAGAGCAGATCAATTTTCCATGCAGAAAACAGTTTCTGCACAATTTGTTTCATCTCATTGCCTGCAATGCCCACAATGGAACATTGCTCATCACACTTCCTTCTGCAGGTCGTTTCCACTCCTGCTTCCTTCCTAAGCCTTGTGAATTTTGTTCTTGGGTAAACACTGCCCATTTGGTCCACATGGTTGATTATTTAAGGTCTGCTTTGCTCTCTAGTGTTATTGTTCCTCTTAAAGGTTTATTTACTGTTTGCCTGAAAACGGAGCCATGGGGATGAGTTAGCCCCACACGTGAAGTGTGACTGACAAAGGGACATCATTTTGGGGGCTCCACCAATCTCTGACAAAGAAGCCTGGTCTTTTTTATGGTTTTGAGTTTTATTCCACTTTCCCCTGCTCCCAGATACGTACACAGTCTCAGGGTTGTGGAGATCGATGTTCGTACGGTTCGTGGGCTGTTTCCAAGCCTCTTCATAGTCTTCTCTCTTCTTTTCTCCACATAGAGAGGGAACAATCTTTTAAGACCCTAAAACATGGCTTTATGGGCTCTGTTGTGGCAATTGACTTCAATGCCCCATAAGACCAACACCCCTAGCTCCTAGGCCCAACAACTGATTCTGACAAGGTGTTTGGTTATGTCTAAAATGTTTGCATAACTTTCCCCCCTGTATGCTCCACTACATTCAAGAATATATTTGCATCGAAAGTAAATACACATGTACACCTATTCTGTCAAACCTAGATCTATTCATGGGTCTTATTCTACATTCCCTCCCATACTTGTCCAGTCTGCATGTGTGTCCATGCAGCTACCTGTAGATCACTGTTATTCCAGGACTGTGCATGTAACAGTACATAATTTTGTGCCCTTTATATCTTGCACTCAGTTTTTTTTCCCTGTTTAAATCTTGCAAATGAGAAAAATAGGATTGGCTTCAGAATGGTTTTAATAGTAGATTTATACTTGGATACAAGCAATGAATATTAACAACTTAGAGCTATAGTTTCAAAACTTGATGAAATGAATTGGTGACTAACAATTTAATATATTTGTTATTATCTTTCATATTTACATGTGACAGCTGTGATATATGAAAAAATCCTCACATAATGTATTAATCTTACTGGAGCAAAGAATTCTATTCAAATAAAATAAAGCAGTGTTAATGATTTGAAATAATTTAGAAATCTTTTTCCTTAATGTTTTCAAGTTCAGTACAAATCAAATCTAACTGAGGAAAATGCATAACAAATGGCAGAAAAATGCTTATTGGGATGGAATAACCAATCTATCTTTTAAATGAGCCATGCAGAAACTATACTTGAGATGAAAAATTAAAAACTGATATAGGTGTCAGAAACCAACTCCTAGAAAACAGTGATGTCAGCAGACACCACTTGCCACGAGAAGTATCACTTGCTCTTCAGCATGTAAAATAAGCTGTGGGGGGTTTTTACTCTCTTCCTTTACACAAGTCTGGAAACAGAAGAAAGAAGAAACAAGTGTGTCTGCAAACTAAACAACAATGGAACACATTGCTTCTCTCCAGACTCACTGGAAAATGTTTCTTCTCATCCGGTAGAGAAGGAGATGTGAGTCAGGGACAGCTCGTAACTAACCCTAACAACTACAGTGCACATAATCAGAGTTGGATCCGAACACCACCTTTCAAAACACCACACTCATCAAACTAAATCCACTTTGTCAGAAACGGAGCTAGTGATCACTCCGTGGTATTATATGAAAGCACTCCCGGGGTTGAAGTCACAATGTGTGCATTCACAAAGCAAGCATTTTTATTGAAACAGACAGACACTATCAAATACCCTGGTTTCCTTCAAAAACCGGTGAAACAAAATGAAGCCACGTCCCCATGATCTATGTGCTGTGCACTTTAATGTTCCACATGTCTCTCAGCAGCACTGGTCGGTAGTTCTGCTCCAGACTTCCCATGTATTCAAAATAATCACTCAGTCGGAACCCACGCAGTGCTTCCTCCTGTCAAGAAACACAAAAGGAAAGTTCACTTGCTTAAACTCGGAGTTAATGAATTTGAAATAATGGAAGCACTTTGCCCTCTCAGCCCCCTCCTCAACCAGTTATTGATGGGGGAGGGGGGAGGAGAGAGGTTTATGTTGCTACTAAATGTGTTGTTTATTTTTTTCATGAGCTGTGTGAGTCTATAGTGCGAATCTAACAGGAGAATCAATGTTCTCGTGACACAAGGTTGTCTATTTTCAAAGACAAAATACAGCTACAAAAAGGCAAAATAAACCCTTAGACCAGGAAGTCTTCCAAATTTGATAGATATAAAAAACGTTTCAATACAGAATGACTGCTCACATTTTTAATTAGTAAATATCCTGGAGTATATCCCTCAAAAAGACACTACAATAATACTGAAATTTTTGTTACTATTCATAAAATCTCCTAGAGTCTGTGGTTTATAATGTTGGTACTATCCAAAAATGATACCAATTTGGAATTTAACGGTTAGTGTTCCAAAGGAAAAGAGCACTGGCAGTGCAGTGGTTAAGTTCTTGGCCGTTAAGTGAAAAGTCAGTGGTCCAAGTCCACCAGCCTCTTCTGGGGAGAAACACGTGTATTCTCTTTCCCTAAAGAAATTCTATAAGGCATCTTGCGACTGACCGGTGCAGAGGGTCAGTATGAGTTGGAATCAACTTGTCAGCCATGGGTTTGGTCCCAAATGAGGGACTAGAACATAAAACACTCAAAACAACAAACAAACAAGCAAAACACCTCACTGCCATCAAGTCAGTGCTGACTCATAATGACCCTACAAGGCAGGGTAGAATTGCTGCTGTGAGTTTCCAAGACTGTAACGGTTTAGCTGGTCTTTCCCCCTCGAGCAGCTGGTGGTTTCGAACTGCAGACCTTGTGGATTACAGCCCAAACGCAAAACCACTATGTCATCAGGGCTCCTTATAAAAGCACTAGGAATATTCTTTCAGAATTTTAGAAACGTCTAGAGAATTTTATGATTATTATTTTCACATCTCTAGCACTATGCATGCAGTACATAGCTTTAAGGGTAAAGGTTCTGCAGAAGAAAATCACCCTTGACTCAATGTCATAATCATTTATTATGTTTCGAATTTGGATTTTTATGAGTGAAATTGAAACAAAACAAAAAAACAATTGGACAAATCATGCCTTTCAGAAGTTAACAGTTTAAAGGCAAGAGTTACTAACATAAAAAACAAAAGCAAACCAAAAAACAATACATGTCATGTAACATAATTTGTTAGAGAAAATTAGTTTATAGGTACAAAGCAATAATGTGGAAAGCTAGGAAAATATCAATAGGAATAGATGTTTTTATAACATCTGAGAAGGAAGTGGAAAGAAGGCTCTTGCACTCTGTTATATTATAGGGATAATATATTATGATATTAATATATTATGTATATATGCAATCTATCGCAAACAAAATGTGCATGAACTGATAAATGGAAAATCAGTTCGCTCCGTAATGTTCACCCAAATCACAATGAAAGACAAAGCCCAAAGAGCACGCCTCGGGCGATGCTGGTCCTTATGGATTAGTGCCAGCTTGCGGACAGCATGTGGGTGCTTCCATGGTTCGGCCATCCATTCCCTACAATCTGGGGAATTTGTGGTGACTGTTAGTTGGCACATGTCTCGGTTTCCTCCAGTGGCCATGGAGCCAACTCGGACATATGCCAAGCCCATGTGTTTCAGAGCAGGCTGTGCTTCCGAGGGTTTCCATGGCCAATTTTCCAGAAGTAGAATAGCTTTCTTTTGAGATGCTTCACAGAGTACTTGGCACTATCTATCTGCCCCACTCAGGAACAACATGGTTTCTCGGTGCTGCTGTAACAAATATATCACAAGTGAGTGAGTGGCTTTAAAGAACAGATATTTATTGTCTCGGCTTTAAAGGGACGAAGTAGAAATCAGGGCATCAGCTCTGAAGGAGGGTGCGTAGTCATAGTTGTGGGCATTCCCTGGCATTCTTTATCTTATATATC